AATGTAATATAACGTAATATAATGTAATATAATGTAATATAATATAAGATGGTGGGCCAGCTGATATTATACACCACACTACAAACAATACAGTGCGTGCAGACTATAATAAATACTAAATAAAAAACAGTACGATCAAAAAACAATATTCAGGAAAAGATTTGCTCTCTTTTTTCTTCCCCTTTCAATTATTCCTACATTGTAAACTTTGGATCATGCCAATAAAGCAATCTTTCATTTTAATTTCTAAAAGATTCTAAGCCTCTGTGTTGTGGGAGATACTGTACATTATATACTGAACATCAACACAAGGATCCAACTTTGTCCCTTGACTCCTGTAGGGAGAGGAGTTGTTCACACAGTGTGATACAGCCATTATGCTACTGGTGGTAAGCATCAATCTTTCATTACATTGCTCACATTAACCGAACAGAAAATAAACTCACTAAGTACAGACCCACTACTAGGGTATAAATGCAGCTGTCATATTGCCATTAACCAGAAGATGGCACCAAAGTAACGCTAACAGAGAGCCATGCAAATGATAATGGTGGAATTCATATAATTTGGACAATGGGCCTTTTTCATGGCAGACATTTTGGCATGTCATTGAAGGAAACCTACAGATGGAAATAATAACATTCATTATGTCCACATTCCATTCCCTCATACTGTGAGTACCGGGCACTGACAGGGCATACAGGGACACAATGGAACAGAGCCATCCTTAATGTCATTAATTACACCTGGGCTTTACCTGCTAAGACAAGTCAAAATGTCTTCCAAATGTCTTCTAAAGAATGGTTAATTTAAATAAATAAAATAAATAAATCATACACTAATAAAGATCACATTTTAAAAGGATGCTTTGTTGAATGGAATACAAGCTAATAAACAGTTGTAAAACTCACCTGTAAGGCTTATAAAGCAGAGAACTGACAATAAAGACAAACAATATGTCCATTTTACATGTTTTTATTAAAGTTGCATAAAAGTGTAACAAAATTGGGCAAAAACAAGACCTGTTGTTGATATTGCTACATTTGTTTGTTGGTTTGATCTAATCATTGTCCAAAAAACACTTCCACTCCTCCAATGGTTTAGCTCTTGTATTTAGCCTCAATGATAATAATCAGTATATATATTTTTTGCAATTTTTCCCAACAGTAAAAAAAACAGACTTCTCAATAACAGTCTAAGAAGGTATAATCCAAACCTGGATTTAGAAATGAAAATCCATTCAAATTCAGCTACTAATTGAGCTTGCCTGGTACAATCCGACCGATCAGAACGTCTCCAAATGAATGCAGACCGTGCTTGATTTGGAAACCACACAGGGAAGGCAAAAGCAATCGCACCAAAATGTATCTGAATGGATTTTTGTTCGACTACATGTTAATCCAAGGCCTGGCATCAAGAAGTGTCATAATCACAATAAAAACAGACCAAGTATTCAAATGGTAAATGTAAAGAACATTGTTTATCTAAACAAAATCACTGTATCAAGGCCTATGTATTAAACACTCACTTCTAAAAAAAACCCAACAGAATCTCATTTTGTTTTCCAAAAGAAAAAGAGGAGCGACAGAAGATCCGAGATTCTCCACATGCCGCAGTTCTGCTCAGTAACACACGTTTTTAGCAGTTTGTGTTACCTCTTTAAAAATGAATGTCTCCCGTTTATTTGGTTTGTGTAACATAAATAATACCTAAGGCAACATCTGTTTTTTTTAAAAAAGGAAAGGAAACTGAAGAGAGGATGGAGGTAGGGTGGACAGAAGGATGAAAAGGGGTGAGAGGAGGAGGAAGGAGGGGATGCCAGGGAGAAATGACAGAGCAGCAAGATGAAAAGGGGCCAATATGTGTGTATGTGCATGCATGTCTGTGTGTGTGTGTGTGTGTTGGCGATGAGAGAGAAAGAGAGACAGTGGAGGTCTGCTGTCACCGCAGGTGTTAGCAATTGGCCACATGAATCACAGCACAATGTTACCGCTTCTCCAATTGGCCGATGGGCTTCGGTCTCTAATCTGATTGGCTCAGGATCAGAAACAGATGGCTTATTCTTGGAGATGATTGGCAGCTGCAGCGGAGAAACACAGCTATGGACCTGTCTCCCTCTCTCAACGCTTGGTGTGTGTATGTGTGTGTACATCTGTATGAGAGGCAGCTGTGTTTGCTAATGTATTTCCGTTTCCTCCGCCCCAAGGGTGGCCTGTATGTGTGATTGAAAGAAAGAAAAGAGAGAGGGAAAAAAAAGGGTGAATGCATTTAGACAGTGGCTTCCCTCCCTCTGTCCCTCCCATTCAGACGTCTCGTTGGTGGGTCTACTGACAGGCAGAGGACAGAACAAAGTCTCTACACCAACATGGACTTTTCAGTTTCCATGTACGTGTGACGGCTCTGAACTGATGGTGGTGAACTAAATCATTTCTAAGATAAAAGGGAGAGACAGTGAGAAAGAGACACAGAGAGGGGGGATGATAAAAAACTCAACAAAAAAACAAGGCAGCTGTGTTCTGGGTCCCCCTGTTGGACTGTCAAGTGTGTGTGTGTGTGTGTGACAAAATGCATCCAGATAAAAAAACAAAAAAAAACAAAACAGGAACCAGTCCTATACTAAAAAATCTAATTTGTCGTACAGAACAGCAGAATATACAGGCCAGAAAAACACTCCTATTATGAATGTTGCTGTACATTATGTAGCAACATACACACGTAGCATTTAGCAACACACATATGTGCAGGCTGGACAGCAGTGGCTTCTAAAGAGCCTCTCTTACGACTGCACCACGCATTTGAGGAAAGAAAAACATACGTTGCTCTTTTTTTTTTTTTTTTCAAGAATTTCTATTCCTGCACACCCGACCTAAGAAAGCCTACTTCTACTCTAGCCTCAAGGGAAGATTTTTATTCTAAACTTAGTTGGACCATATGACCACCACAGCCAACCAGTGACTTTTTTTTTTTTTTTTTTAAAGGTTCCACTATTTCCAGGGATCAAATTTTCCTCTTTGTTGGACTAAAGATACACAGTACATTATTGTTTGTGGTCAGAGGTTCAGATTTTCTTACCAAAATGACATAGTGCAGATTTTTCAAACAGATATACACACACAAAAAAAGACAGTCTTTAAATGCACCACTGTAGCAAATGCCTCTGATTACGGGGGGTGATCTAAAAAGACTGTACGGACCCCCCGAAAAAAAGTAAAAAGTCAAGTGAATATCCCCATGCCCTCAAACTGAACTAGAAAATACTGAAAGACTTGTGGTTGGTAGCTGGATCATTTACAAGTTTATACCCCTTACAAATAACAGAATAAGGAATCTCATTGGTAGAGACATAAGCAATGATTAGGCCCCGCTTCAAGCTGATTGGCTGCCTCCTCCTTCCACTCTTTTCTTGGCCGTTGCGGACTCTCTCTCTTGTTCCTCTTCCCACTCTCGGCTGCTCCGCTCTCAGTAATTATTGGGGCTCGTCTCATCTCAGCTCCTCTCCTCTTCCTCCTCAGACAGATGGAGGGTTGTGGGAGGGAGCAGAGCTGGATGAGGAAGAGGAGTAAAGCCAAACAAAGGGCGAAGGAGGAGCAGGAGTGAAAAAGAGCACCTAGATTGAGACCAATGAATCGCTTGCTGTTGTTGGCCTGGTTATTGTGTATTCTTTACCTCGCCTTTCCTTCTTTGCTGATCGTATTTAAGAAGGAAGTCAGACAAACAACAAGGCAAAGTCACAAAAAGTGAACAATAAACACAATTTATGGGGCTAGATCCAGGCAGCGAGAGAAGAAGAGACAAAAAAAAGGGGCCTAACCACAAGAGAAAACAAGTATTTCATTGAAGATCTTCAATGGAAGAGAACGGACATCGAAATAAAAGGTTGGAAAGCACGGTAGGAAGACAAGAGGTGAGGGCTGAGGTGGAGGGGAGGAGGAGGAGGAAGAGAGGGAGAAGGAGGTACGCCATCATTTCTTCTGAGGCGTGGAGAGCTTCTGCATCCCTCGGATCTTGTCGAGCAGCTCTGAGACGAAGACCTGTGGGGAGGCAGGAGGGACAAAACACATGAGGGGGGATTCAGAAACAAAAAATACACAGTGCATAGATATGGGGGTAAAGTATCATGGGGTCGAAGGAGGGAAGGAAAGGAGGAAGCAGCTTACCTCAGTAGGTTTAAAACAGTCAACCAGTAAGTCCTGCAAAACAATAAAATACAGTCTGAATACATATTGTGTGTTTCTATGCCTCTTTGCATGTTTTGACTCGTCTGTATGTGTATCTTACCTTGACCCTGGCTGCCCGTTCAACATCACTGGGCATATCCAGCAGCTCATCCACATCTATCTCCAGCTCTGGGATGGCCTCCTCCTGTAACACATGTAACAAGGGAAGAAGAGCGCGTTGAGAAACAATCCCATACTTCCTTACAAGATGAGTAAAAAGTTGGTTTTTGGGTTAACACTGCTGTTAGAGAATCTGAAGGTGTCGGCTCACAGTCAGCGTCCACACACACACACACACACACACACACACACATTAGTGAATCTCTTTCATGGACACATGGAAAGAAGCCCTCATCATCCTTTCTATTCTTAGTCCCTGTGTTTATGTTCTGTGGTTGTCTGTAAATACACGAGGACAGACATTTCTGTCTGTCTGTATGACGTGGTGCAGTGACTGATGTGTGTCCATGTTTGAACACTAGAGGGCAGTGCCTTCCTATCGCATCACATGTTGTACATGACAGAGAGGAGAGGGGAGAGACAAAGAAACAGGCATGTAGATTTCAACTGAGATTTGAAAAGGATGGAAAATTGACAAAAGAAAATGTCTATATAAATGTAAAGTGTATTTGCCTAAATGTGCACCGTTGTTCTGTATATAGAAAGCTTTACATTCCAGCCTCACTTGAATGTTTAAAATCCAACAGAACACAATGGAAATAAAGTAGTGGTAGGGTTTCAACTGGAGTGCGACACTGTAATGAAGTGCATTAGAGCAGCAACTAACAATTATGGTCATCATTGATTAATCTGCAAATGATTTTCTCGGTTCATTGGTTAATCGTCTGGTCTAAATAAATTGTGAAAAAAGTCCAATGTGACATCTTCAAATGTCTTGTTTTGTCCAAAACCCCAAAGATATTCAGTTTACTATCAGACAATACTAAGAAAACCAGAAAATATTCACAT